TTTTGTAACATTATTTGATCATGTATGCAGATTATGTTTACACAAAATTCTGAATGTATTTTAATACCAAGAAGTGTTGGAACACATTTTCTTCTGTAACTGCAAATGTTGATGGAATATTGCTCTGCTAATACATATTGATCTGTAGCTCATTTTTAATTGGTTAAATTGTTGGGGTTATAGCTCGCTGTTACACAACACTCAGTAATAATACAAAGCTGATACAATTATGTTTAACATAGTCAGTAAGACTTCGGTCTGTCCTGACTGCAAAAAGCTTTTATTTGTATCCCTGACATTTTTCATTTGCAAATGCTAATGTGTGCCATGGCTTAATTTGGCATTATTACGTTACTCACATGGAACTTCATTTCGGCATAGTAATCATCATTATCTATGCTGAAATCTTTGTATGTAGAGAGGACGTGAAGCAGCTCCCATTCTCCCTGGTTCATGAACACACTCTTGTCGTTCATTACTTCCTCAGGGGTTCTCATTAGTGTGATGTTGATGTCTTTAGCTACGGGATGAGATCAGGTTAAAGGTCAGTTCATTCAGCTTTCAGGAAAAGCAATGTTGTCTTCGAATCGTTTCTGAAATGCTACAATTCCAGGACATCCTTATTTCTGCTATGTGGTGTTTTTGGAAAAACACCGTTATGCTTGTCTGTATTTTATTAAGCTTTCGTGCTTCAGAGTTTCATAAATGATTTAAGATAGATCACATCTCTCAAAATCCTTTAAGACTTGGATTCTGTGTGTAGGAGGTACATTTGTCACAGATGACTGAATGATCTCTCTCAAGCTCATTGAAATGCGTTTACTTACTTGTGTGTAGCCAGCTCTGGAAAGTCAGGCTGCATTTTTGGACATCATAAGGAAAGTTGTAGATGTTGAGGGAGCAGGCGGTCACTACCTGGATAGGCTTATAGTTGCGAACAAGCCCAGTATGGCCTACATAGACGTAAGGAATTTCAGGAGACTTTCCTACATCCACACTGCAGAGGAAAGAGAGAGAGAGGGAGCAAGCAGGCAAAAGGGTTCAGTAATTCTACCGTTAACGTCTCAATTATCTCATTATGTCAAGTCTACTCACAATTCATTGATAAGAATATCAGGAACCCAGATGTTGGCAGTGGGAATGGATATCTGTTTAACGTCATCAAATTCTTCTGGATCCCACGCAAGGAACTCATCTGTCCATTGCTTTTGAGGTTAGAGAAATGTCAAGTACAAAAACTGCACACTGTAAAAACTATTAAGTCTCAATAGCCTTAATTAACCATAGCAAGTAACTGTTCTTGTTTAATTTAGAGATGTTATAAACGAATCTCTGTGTTATTGATTCACTAACACTGGCTCTTGAGAGTCAATCATTCGGAAATCAAACGACGCTGTCTGCTGTTTACATTTATATTTCATTAAGAAGAAAAGAGTCATTTGTTTTGCCGTACATTACTGATAGGCCTACACAAAAACAGCAAACGGCTCGTATGAGTCATTTGTTCGGTCATCGCGTTGTATGTTTTCGAAACACAATGAAATGATCTGCTCATACGCGTCAAACGATTGCTTCTCGCTTCAAATTGTTGCTTGACAAAAAACAACAACACAGGAGAAGGCTACTGTACGTTCATTATTCAATAAAAAGAACCGACTCACAGATATTCATGTATGAAAAACGGACTACATCGTTTGCACCGCACGTTCTTGATTCACTCTACCCGGCTCCTAAGAGTCATTCGTTCAGAAATCGGATCTTTTGATCTTGTCAGTTATCTAATATTTTAGATTTAAATTCATCTTGTATTTTCCACCAACATACCTGTCTGTACCACACATATGTTGTCAAAACCTGGTTCTTCTCATCCTGTGTGGCACAAAAATATATACAAAAGAATAAACGCAAAAAGTCTTAATTAACAGACCGTTATAGTTTACATATTTAATAGACTTTTGAGACCTCTACCCACCACATTAAGAATCGCATAAACCATTAGGTCAATAGCCACCGTCGTTGACTGCCTCCAGTCGCGCACTGGTCGAACTCCTTTCTTATATCCGGCACTTAAAAACTCATTTAGTCGAACCAGAGTGGCATTGGCGAATCGCCCAGTGTTATTGCTCAGCTTCTTCACTACACCGAGACAAAAGAATAGCCACTTATCACTTTTACTTCATTCAGCTTCAGCATGAAAAGGTTAAGCTGTCAGATACACGTGAATGCATATTAATGAATTAATAGCAATATTGATGGTGTCTCAAAACCTAGAGAGCTGTCTAATTTAGATGATGATGACCAATAATGACCAACCTAATTTCCTTTGATGACCAAAAATGCTGTCTTGGTTGGCAGCTCACTAGGTTTTGAGACACAGCCCTTGAGTCTTAAGCTCGTTTAATGTGAAAGCACAGCGTTTGTTCGTTTGAAAGCTCAAACGCAATTTGTTTTTATAATCAAAAGCAAAAATAAAGTATAAGAGAAGTTACCTGAGCAAACCACCACCGCCACATACATGCAAACGCAGAGAGCTGTCCAGAGTGCTGAACATTTCATTGTGCTGAGCCGTTTAGCGTTGCTCTGGGTTCTTCTCGCAGGCTTCTAGCCTGAGGCTGCTTCCTTCCAGTGATGCTCCATTAGTTATCTCTGAGTTTTCCATAAACGCTCGGACTGTGTCATAACTGCACTTAGTCCACCCTCCCTCCCTCTTCTGTATGATCATCCCACAGCTTAGGCAGGTCCAAAGCACTTCAGCTTGTCCCAAGAGACACAACGGAGAGAATTAACTATATAAGCATGACAAGCATTGTGTAGCTACTCTTGAAAAGCTAGATACAGATAGAGTTCTATTTCTTCTAAACATTGTACTTCAAAAACTACTTATTCACAATTATTTTGTAAACAGCATGTTCTATTAGGCCTCATTATCCTGTTAAAAATGGAGCATGGAGGCAATGGGTTATTTATTTGTTTAAGATTTTAAATATAACAGGATGAACAACATAGACATCGTCAAATGATAATACTAGTGTTTTTCTCTCTCACATTAACTCAACAGCGGACGGCGCATGAATTACAGCTACCATTGACATTTCATGGGTCATATTTCACCACCAAGTTCAAGTCAATTTCCATGAGCACTTATACTACTACATTAACTGTAATCTAATACTTCACCCAGCCATGATGAGACTTAATTAGCCCGGCAATAGGCAGGTGATTAGATTTGTGTCAGGAAAATATTATCAGAATTTTGATGAGGAATTGAATTAGGTGCTTTTTTTTCTGACTGACCTGGCAGCTCTGAGAAGCGATGTAATGAAAATGTACTATAATGATAGTGATGTGAAGGTGATTGTGGTTTATTTTTCGGTAAGGAAACTGGAGCTTGATATATGATAATGTTACAGTACAGGGAGGGGCATATAAACATACGTTCTTCATTCTCATGTGTCATTTTTCAAAGAATGCTCTGTAATCTGGCCCTTAAAATTACATTTGTTTGTGTAAACATATGTAGTAAAATTGATTCCGACATATTAAATCATTTTCCATGTTTGAATTGAATAAAACCAGTTAATTTAGTTAAGTGGATTTTGATTACCTAGTAAAACAATTTTACAATAGCATGATTTTTATTAACTGTTTTATTTATTCAGGACGTGTGTATTTATAATAAAGTATTTATTTTAGCAGAACAAAATCTCAAAACAATACAACTTATTTTGCAAAGCACTATTTATTTTAGCACGTTGATGTTCAACAGTATCATTTATAATTTACAGTATTATTTAATTGTTGATTCCATGTACTTGCTTTACAAATAAAAAAAAATCAAAAGTTATAGTAAAATGCAAGCGTATATAAAATGTAAGTTAAAGTCACAGCATCTTAAGATTCTACATTTGAGTTAAAAAAATTTGTAAATTTCCACTTGAACATATGCCATTAAAAATAGATACTATTGCCATTCATATATTAATAGAATATTAACATAAAAAGCGACCTCCATGTTTATGAATGGGGGTTTATTTCAGTGACAGTCCCTTATCATCAAGTGCTACAGTTAAAACAAAACATTTGAGTGTTATTAGTGAAAAGAAGAGAAGCATGGAAGAGAAAGACAATATTCAAACATAAATTTGTTCATTAATTAAGTGGATTTTGATTACCTAGTAAAACAATTTTACAATAGCATGATTTTTATTAACTGTTTTATTTATTCAGGACGTGTGTATTTATAATAAAGTATTTATTTTAGCAGAACAAAATCTCAAAACAATACAACTTATTTTGCAAAGCACTATTTATTTTAGCACGTTGATGTTCAACAGTATCATTTATAATTTACAGTATTATTTAATTGTTGATTCCATGTACTTGCTTTACAAATAAAAAAAAATCAAAAGTTATAGTAAAATGCAAGCGTATATAAAATGTAAGTTAAAGTCACAGCATCTTAAGATTCTACATTTGAGTTAAAATTTTTTGTAAATTTCCACTTGAACATATGCCATTAAAAATAGATACTATTGCCATTCATATATTAATAGAATATTAACATAAAAAGCGACCTCCATGTTTATGAATGGGGGTTTATTTCAGTGACAGTCCCTTATCATCAAGTGCTACAGTTAAAACAAAACATTTGAATGTTATTAGTGAAAAGAAGAGAAGCATGGAAGAGAAAGACAATATTCAAACATAAATTTGTTCATTAATTTGTTTTTCTTTATTTTATGGCAAACAATCACATACAACATGAAGGCAATTTGCTCACAACTAGTTATGATTTTTACATTACTGAAAGTACGTTTAACCATGTTTTACAAATAAGGACTCCACCTATATAAATCTTGTTTGGCAAACTGGGCTCGTTTTATATTATAGAGTCAATCTACAGACGAAAATCTGAATTCATGTTAATAGTAGGTATCAAATGTAATTAATTATACTTTAAAACTAAAACTGCAGTTGTGAAATCTGTCACTTTGTTTTAACTTCCTCCATCCCCTCTACTTCCGTTTTGTCCTTCTCTTCTCATTACCCCTCTTTTTCCCCAACCACCTCCTTCAGACTTTCAGGCAGAGCTCCAGACACCCCAGAGCAGCAGTAGAGTCATGACATAGATGAGCATAATTAGCAGGTACACACAGAAGAGGAGCTTGTCCACTTTCAGGCACAGTTCCACCCAGTAAGACTGTGAACTGCCCTCATTGTCCTCCTCCTGAAGGTACAGTCTGAGAGACACCACCTCCTGCAGGATCTTCTCCAGTGGAGAGTCATTGTTTGAGACTTCTGTCAGAGAGAACAGGTCTGGCTCTGGAGAGAGATCAAACTCGAAGCCTGGATCAGAGAGAGAGCACAATTATTATTTGTTGTGGTCTTCTCGTGAAAGGCAGAGGAGACTGACACAGAAGAGAAGAAATTGTTGAATAAAGTCGTTATTTTTGTTATATTTGCGCAAAAATTCTCGTAGCTTCATAAAATTAAAGTTGAACCACTGATGTCACATGGACTACTTTAACAATGTCCTTACTACCGTTCTGGGCCTTGAACGTGGTCGTTGTGTTGCTGTCTATGCAGGGTCAGAAAGCTCTCGGATTTCGTAAAAAATATCTTAATTTGTGTTCCAAAGATGAACGAAGGTCTGACGAGTTTGGAATGACATGAGGGTGAGTAAAATTAATGACGGAATTTTCATTCATTTCAAATTTTAATCTTAAAATTAAAACTCAAGCTTACAGCAGGCCATCCAAGATGTAGATGAGTTAGTTCATCATCAGAACAGATTTGGAGATATTCATCTTTTGATAATTTGCTCACCAATGGAACCTCTGCAGCGAACAGGTGCCGTCAGAATGAGAGTCCAAACTGCTGATAAAAACATCACGATAATCCACAAGTAATACATACAACCCCAGTCCATCAAATCTGCTGTTTGGACTCTCATTCTGACGGCACCCATTCACTGCAGTGGATCCTCTGGAGAGCAAGTGTAATGAATAAAAATAAATGAATTGACGGCAGAATTCAGTGACTGGCCAATCAGAATCATTCATGTCAGCTGTGTAATAATAAATGACATTAACACATTTTTTGGGGCATTTTCACCATTTTCACCTATTACGATAGGACAGATCAGAACTGACAGGAAGCAAAGTGGGGGAGAGAGAGGGGGGCAGAATCAGGAAAGGTCCTCGAGTTGGGATTTGAACTCTGGACGCCCGTAGCGCAACAGTGCTGTATATCAGCACGCTGCCCACACAAGGCTATCAATGCTGACACAAACTTTTTTCATCTACATTAATGTTCTTTTATGAATAAACTATTGGTCAATGTTAATGAATGTTTGTCTATAACTCATTTTATTTAAACATTTTAAAATGTATTAGTATATGCTGAAATTAAGAAATGAATAGACATTGTAAAAACATTGTTCCTAACTATTTCAAAGTATAGAACCCTATTGTATAAATAGATAGTATTTTCTCTCCTACCTCCGGACTGCTCCATATCATCTAGTGTCTTCATCGATGTGAAAGCGCTCTCAATAAAGCTCTGATCCATTGAGCCGTATTTGTCTAGTAAGCAAGCGGACATGGACATCTCCTTGATTTCCTTTTCACTGTAATGCAAAAGCTTCACTACGAAAATGGACATTGCCAAACTCAGCACCAGCAGGGCCATGCAGACAGCGAAGAAGACCCCTGTGGCAAAAAGAGCAAACATTATTGTCAGAAAGGTGAGGCTGCTGTCCATCAAGAGTGTTGTTAATAGGTGAACATTGTAATTAGGAAGATCTCTAACTGTACTATACCAATGAGGGGTGTTTTAATAGCGGTAGCAGGGATTTCATCCATCAGATTGACTCTGATTACAGTGAAGCCCAAGAGAATGCTGGTCTTGAAAGTGATGCGAGTGCCACTGTTCGGAGGCAGATAGAAGCTGGTGACATCCACCACCATGAAGAAGATGCTCGGGATGAGCAGACTTACCACGTACAGCAGGGGGCGCCTGCGGATCAGCACCTACAGAGAGAGACAGAAAGGCTGGAATTGAACGGGCTCTCTCTGGGTGATATTTATTCCATTACTTGCCCTCAGATAAATGTGCTCATGGAGCAGTCTGAGATGGCTGTGTCTAAAGGGGAATTACATAAGCTTAAGCCTTCTCCTCATTTCCTGGATTTGCTAAATCAGTCCAATTTCTCATTCTAGAGCTGAAATTGTTTTCCCACACCTCAGCTCCCCCTGAGAACCCAGACTTGATTCTTGAGCGTCCTGATCAACCTTGCTGCCACAGAGTTATTTCCTCTCGCTGCCCCTCATCTGGATCAGGACCATCCATTTCCCTTTCCTTATTTAAGGCTGCTTAAGCTTCCACAGTACAACAAAGAGCAATTTCATACCGACTTAAACATGTTCCCCACCCATTTGGCCAATGAGTAAAAACACAAATATGGATCCCTAAATGGCTTCGGCAATGAGCCGCAGAGCAAAGGTAATCAAAGTACATGACCGTTTCCATGGTGTGCGCATCTTAGTGGAACAGGGTGGATTGCCCACAAGCTTTGAGCCCATTCCTCCCACTGAACACGACGCTCATTGATCAAATGCCAGAAAGACAGTCTCATTATCATCAGCCTTTCTGTGTGTTGTCTGCCGCTAAGCCTCATCTGTTAGCTTTAGTGTGACTCCACTAACAGCCATGCAAAGCTTGCAGAAGGGTTGTGACATGTCAGACTAACATCAATACTCTAGCTAGCATGTCTGGCCTACTGTTACATGCCTAATGTCTCAGTCAGGGTCCAAAATGAACATTTGTCAGACTTTAAATGCAAGTCAAATTTGGCAGTGGCGGGTAAATAAGAAATTCTAAATATATTAAAAATATTTTTATAAGAAAATGCAATTTCAATTAAAAATAAACAACAATATAATATAATATTTTTCAAAACAATTTTAAATTAAATTACATTTGATTTTGTGACCCGAGACAGTGGGATCCAGCATCCCTGCTGAGGATAAACAGCTTGGAGAATGGATGGCTGGATGGATTACAATTGATTTTTAAGTATTCACAATATAAAGGAAGTAGTAACAGATATTTTTGTTGTGACATACATCATAAGAGCACCACGATGCTGCACCTTGTTTACAAGCAGAGGAATGCACACGCATGCATCGTGAAACTCTCGTGAACGCTTGTTCTGACACAGAAGAGAAGAAATTGTTGATTAAAGTCATTATTTTTGTTTTCTATGCACACAAAAAGTATTCTTGTAGCTTCGTAAAATTACGGTTGAACCACTGATGTCACATGGACTATTTTAACAATGCCCTTACTACCTTTCTGGGCCTTAAATGTGTCAGTTGCGTTGCTGTCTACGCAGGGTCAGAAAGCTCTCTGATTTCATCAAAAACATCTTATTTTGTGTTCTGAAGATGAACAAAGGTCTTACGGGTGTGGAACGACATGAGGGCGAGTAATTAATGAGAGAGTTTTCATTTTTGGGTGAATTATCCCTATAAGCCTTTTGTTTCACAGGAAGGTTGTGTTAAGATGTTCTCACAAAACATAAACTATATTATCGCACAGGTCTACTGTATACATAAAGTCAAATATAAATATGTCCAACTTTATCCACATGCATACAGATTATATCATCGCAAAATGTAAACCATGTTATCGCCTATCTCTAATCTAATGTGACTGTAAGGTATAAAGATATCATGAAAGTTGCTTTGACACACTGTGTTTTGTGAAACGCACTATACAGATAAAATTGAAAACTTGACATGTAAAGCTGCCAGTGAATGTCCTTTGTACTGATTGAATAAGTTCAGGATTAATTCTCACATTAAACTGAATCTGTGCGTAGTCTCTGTTCTCTAGATTCAGTGTCCAGTAGTGAGAAGGGACAGACAGCAGCTCCCATTCACCATCATTCATGAACTCTCTCGTATCATTGGCGATTTCCTCAGCAGGCCTCCACAGAGCTAAATCCACTTCATTCACTGCCAGAGAAACACATCAGCAGTTCATTGTGTTATTTGTTCAATTAAGTGTTTATGTTGGCAGGTTTGCGAGGAGCATATTTAAAATATGTCAGCTTTTAAAAGATTCTAACCAGGGCTGATCAAAAACACTCAGTAATCACAGCAACTCTCATTATACGGAGGCCAGCTTGTGTACAAAGCACATGCTGTGTACTGGTGAGTAATTTACCTGAGTGGAGCCAGCTGCGAAAGGTCAGAGTGCAGTTCTGCTTGTCAAAGGGAAAGGCATAAATCTCCAGGTGACAGGCTGAGACCACCTGGATGGGTTTGTAGTTTTTTACTGTTCCTGAGCAGTTGACATAAACATATGGGATGACTGGGGATTTGCCAACATCGACGCTGGAGAGATAGGAAGACATATGATGCAATGAGAGTATAACTCGACAAAATTCATTTCCAGAACACAAAAGGAGCTTGTGATGCAGGCTGGAGAGATACATCTATCATGTACATACAATTCACTTATGATGACATCAGGCACCCAGATGGCATCCGAGGACAGCGATATTTCAGTGATTCCATCAAACTCTTCAGGATCCCAAACAAGAAACTCATCGTTCCATATCTGAAACATTAGAGTAATGCGGTTTACTGTTATCACCTAGCAGGTCCCATGAGAAAGATTCAGATCACTCAAATATCAGATTCCATGCATTTCAAAATTGAATTATTGTGTACGTGCTTCTTTGCTGGATCTGTCTCGTAAAGATAAAATTAAATGTGGTTTATGAAACCTGCTCATTCACTGCATTCTTCTATTAAAGGAATAAGACATGCCGATTATGTGGGCACTCAGGTATGTATATAATGTGTAATATATACTGATATATTCATATACTGGTCTATTCATAATATTTCAAGTAAATATTCAGGTAAAAGTCAAAGGACAGTAGGTTTGATTTCAAGAGGTTACAGTGCAAAAACATTTGAAAAACAGCTACCATAAACAATCTGCATCAGACTAATCTGAATAAAGTATGTTAGCCATATACAATAATGCTGCTGTGTATTTTCGTAGACAAATTAATTGATACCAACTTGGCGATACCAAATGCTGGTGGTCACTTTCTGAGTCTGTCCATCCTGTGAAAAGATGTGCAAATTTACTATATTTTACTGACATAGAAACACACTTTAAGAACTGTGCAATTCATTTATTTAGTTAACAACTTCTAACAGTTAACATTCCTGTGCATTGCATATAAAAAAGCTTGGCATAAAAATTGTTCATTGTCTGCAGTACAAGTAATACAAGAAATCTCTCTAAAGGTTGAAATGCGCTCACCACATCTAGGACCGATTTGATTATAAGGTCAATGTAAATGGTAGTTGGTTTGGTCCAGTTCTGGACAGGCCGGACTCCACAGTTATATTTGCGAAGCAGTAACCTGGTGAGTTGGTTCAGAGCAGATCTCTTTGGTTTCTCTGGGACTAACTCAGCCTGTGGAATAACTGTACAGAAATGTTAATCAGTGCAGATCTTGCTTCACTTGGTTAAGTTAGAATTATCAGTACAGTTTGGTAGCATACAGAATTCAGTCACATTCGTCGTTCCATAGTATAAAATTCACAGTAAATGTCCTTCACAGATAGGTTAGGTGGTGGCTTTTTAAATAGTCTTAAAATGTTTCTAATTTTGTTCTATTTTTTGAATATATTAAATGTTAATGCAAACAGCATCAAAAGTTATGCAACATACGTAACTGAAAGATTGTATAATTAATATAATACAACCAAGAAAAAGCACTGGACTTACCTGAAAGTAGCAAAGATAGCAAAAGGACAGGACTCATCCTGACAATTAAGAAAACTGTAAACAGATTCAAGTGGTTTCCACTGCCTTTGTCCCAGCTTTTAAAATGTTACCCTATCACGAAGTGTGTTTTATTCCAGTAAAATGCTATGGAGCATCAGAACGGTCGTTGTACACATGACTGCAACAAATGCACAGCGGCAACTTGCT